TTAAGTCTCTCTTAATTTAGATGAATCCCCATACCAGTTTTTTTCCCCTTTACCAATTTGTCTTTCATGACATTAGCATTTATTTGCCTTGGAAAATTTCCCGCAATCTGGGTTTGTCAGATTGTTTTTTCATAATATTTTCAAACTAAACAATTTGGCAACAGTACTGCATAGATGACCTTGTATCTTTCTGTGTGTATCACAGTCAGGAGGTGCTTGATGTCCTTTGGTCCCGTTATCAGAAATGCTAAGCTTGGTCACTTGGTCACTTGGTCTGCCAGATCTTCTCATTATTGAAGTACTCTTTCTCTGTTGTGATTAGTAAGTAATCTAGGGGGTGGCACTCAAACCGTGTGACACTGCTATTAGCAGCCATTGATCATCTTTGCTTGTATCTTGTTCTTACACAAGTGTTGCAAATGGTGATTTTAAAAAGTTCTTTTCCCTCTCCCTTTCTTTTGTATGTCATCCTAGACTTGTGCATTCTTTTTATTCAGTGTGTTATAACCTACCCATGACTGACATTATTCATATTTTTTAACTTTTTATTTTGAAAACTTTCACAATAAAGTTGAAGAAATAGTAAAAGGGACACTTTTTACTATATAGCGTCACCCAGATCCACCAGTTGTTAACATTTGCCACATTTGCTTTGATTCTGTTTATATCCATCTCTTCATAATTTCCTACTTTATGAACTGTTTGAAGTAACATCATGATACAATACCCCTAAACACTTGAGCACATATTTCCAAGAACAAGGACATTCTCCTACATGACCTTGATATCATTGTTACATCCTAGAAATGTAACATTGATCCAATATTATTATCTAGTTTAGAGTCTATATTCAAGTTTCCTTTGTTATTCCAGTGATGTCTTTTACAGTGTTCCCCTAATCAAGGTTTACACAGTGGTTTTTGTTGCCAAGTATCTTTAGTCTCCATTAGTTTAGACAATCCCTTATCTCTTTAAGTTTTTTTTTGGTCTTCTGGGATGGTGGCCTTTTTTTTTTTTTTTTTAACAGTCCATGTCAGTGTAGGTTTTAGAATGCTACACAACTTGTGTTTGTCTGATTGTTCCTCATGATTAGATTCAGGTGAAACATTTGGGGTCCAGAATACTACCACAGCTGATGCTGTGCCTATTTCCCTGCATCACATTGGGAAGCCATAATGTCCGTTTGTCCCATTATTAGTAAGGTTAGGTTTGATTATCTGGTTAAGGTGGCATTTGCTAGCTTTCTTCACAGCATAAAAGCCTGTTTCCTTTTGTAATTAAGTAATCTTTGGGCTAGTACTTTGAGACTCAGTGACTCTTTTTCTCCCAAAAATCTTTTGCCCAGCGAAAGGTTTATCATCTGTTGAGGATCGCAGGATTGGGAGATTCTTCTAATTCTGTCATTCCTTTTACACTTATAGCTAGCATTCTTCTGCAGAGAAGAACTTTCTTTCTTCCTCCCTCTCTTTTTAATTTCTTTTCTTTTTATTGGTTCTAGAGAGAGGGAAAGGGAGGGAGAATGAGAGGGAGAGAAACATTGACTGGTTGCATGTGCCCTTACTGGGGACTGAAACTAAAGTGCAGGTGTGTCCCCTGACTGGAAATCGAACCAGCGACCTTTTGGTGTGCAGAACGACATCCAACCAACAGAGCCACACCAGCCAGGGTTTCCTTCTCTTTTTAAAAATGAGTGTCGCTTTGGACTTAGGAATTATTTTTTAAAATTCAGTATGTAATATTATTGTTATTATTAATTTTGATACTCTTAATTGTTCCAAATTTGGCTGGATGTCTTTTTGACATGCCCCCATTCATTGAATACTTTCTTGTTTCTATCATTACAAGATGTTCTGACCAGGGGTGTCCAACCGTTTGGCGTCCCTGTGACACACTGGAAGAATAGTTGTCTTGGGCCACACGTTACATTGTGTGTGACATGTAATCACAAAAAAAATCTCATAATGCTTTAAGTAAATTTACGACTTGTATTGGGCCACATTCACAGCCATCCTTGGCTGCATGTTGCCTGCGGGCCACAGGTTGGACACCCCTGTCAGGCTAACCTTGTATTTGTCTTGGTTTGGAACCAGCCATACATATAGAGGGTCTGGCATAAATAACACCCCGTTTTTATTACAAAATGTTTTATTACAAAATCATAAGCATGTAATTCTGTAACATAACAATATCATACTCAAGCACACCATATGACATTTTAAGTGAAATGTTCAAATTAAAACTATAAATTATTACTCCCATATTATTACCCTGCCAACCACAATCAAGCAGGTGCTACTTCTGCTGGACCCTGTATTTTAAGTTATGAGATCATACTGATATCTCCAGTTCAAACCCAACATCACAGGGCTCTTTTTTTTTTTTTTTTAAACTTCCCCACATTCTATATTCTATCTTCATATTCTTAACAGTGAGAACTCAGGTCCCCAGTAACACATTTACTCATGTGCTGTCTCCTACACTACACATGACAAAGTTTCAGAATCACCACTTTAGCACCAACAATAACAGTAAATCTGCTGATATAAACAATATTTTTCCATTTATTTTTGTCCTTGAGATACAGCCCTCTGAGAGAACACAAAGTACTGTGAGAAGTTGTTGGCTAATTCTTTTTTCTGTTGTTGTGCCCAGCTTCATTTGTTTTTGCTTATTTCAACGTTAGGGCTTACTTTTATTTCTGGTGTACATTTTTGAATATGTAAGACGTTATACATACAAAAGTATGTAAAAATCTTTACCCAGAGAAGTCTCATGACTCATCCTAGTCCTTCCACCATGTAAGTATTCATGTCATTCATTTCTGGTTTATTCTTCCTGTGTTTCTTTTGCAAAAATAAGCAAATTAGTATGCATATTCTTATTTCTCTTTATTTCTTACATAAAAAGTGGCACACTATACTTGTCTGTACTTTGTTTTTTTCACTTGACAGGGTATCCTAGAAGTCATTCCATAGCAGTTCATAGAGATCACCTTCATTCTTTTTTACTTCTCCGTAGTACTCCATTGAATCATGTACCATAGCTCATTCAAATAGTTGCATTTAGGTCACTACCAACATTTTGCTAGTGCAAATAGTGTCATGTTGAATAATGTGCATTTTTTTCTTATTTGTAGGTAAATAAACAGAAGTACGATTGCTGAGTCAAAATGAAAATAGATTTTTATTCTCCTCCCCCCTCCTTAAAAAAACACACACAAAAGGTAGCATATTATATAGACTATTCTGCATGTTGCATTTTCAATGACTAGTAATTCTGGAGATCTTTCTGTATCAGTATTTAAAAAAAAAATAGTTACAGAACATTTTAAAAAACAGATGCAGAGCACTCTATTTTATGACTGTACCATTTATTTAATCAGTCCCCTATTGATGACATGTAGATTGTTTCTATGTTTTGGTATTATAAACAGTGCTACAATTAATGCAGCTGTGTAAGAGTATCATTTCATGTGATACTCTTACCAGGCTTTTCTTTTTTCCCCTTTGTGGTGGATATTTGGGTTTTTATATCAGTATTTGATTTTATCACAAAGGGGTCACAAAAGGTTGTAATTGCCCAAACTTTTAAGTGGATCCAGAGAAATTGGCCTGGCACTCTAGGAGGATTAATTTTTCTTTTTGTAAAACAAATTTTTGATTGAAATGCAACACATAGAAAAGTGCATAAATTGTAACTGCATGTTTGATCAATTTTCACAAAGCCAATTCCTCTGTGTAACTAGCCCTAACCCCATAGATTTGTTTTGTCTGTTTTTCAACTCTATAGATATCTCCACCCAACTTTTAAATGTTGCATTGCCTTAACGCTTGGTCATAGACCATTTTCTGATTTTGATTATGTATATATTATGTATATAACCCCACCAAAGTTACTATTCTAGTGAGCTGGTTGCTCATTTGCTTCCTTGCGCTTAACTCAGTGTGTCTCAGGGCAGGCCCCATGCTGAAACTCCTCACCGGAATATCCCCAGTGCCTACAAGGCAGCCCTGTCTGGGGTCTCACAGCACCTTGGACTTGGCAAGTCAGTAACACAGCCACTTGTTGACGTCCCCAGAACCTGGTGTCTTTTCTCACTGGTGCCTCCTGTGATGGGGCTCTCTGTGAACAGGCACCATCCCCTTCAGTGTTTAAGCTGGCAGGGAGTGTCCTTGATGGCTCCCTCCGTTACTCCCCAAATACACCTCTGGGCCCCTTCAAACTTGCTAAGGGCCTCAAGCATCATTCCCTGCCCAACTCCCGTCTCTGCTTTGGCTACCGTGGCTTTCTTTCCTTATTTAAAAATGTGGGTTTCCTTCAGGATCTCTGTGAACTTTCCCTTCTTCCCAGAAGGCTGCCCTGCCCTGGGCAACTCCTCTGTGTTCTTTAGGGCTCCTCTACTTCTTATAGTTAATTTCCATGACTTCCCAGACCAGGTTTAGATCACCTTGATATACACTGTATGTTTTCACAGCAGCCATCCTTCCCTTTTATTTTCATGCAGAGGGCAGGGACCACATCTTTCTTATTCGTGCTGTTTCCCCAGTGCCTGGCAGATTATAAATACCCCCCAAAATGGACATATGACTGAAGGCAAAGGCAGGAGGGAGGGGAGCCTAGCCTGTGACTGAGGCCTGGATTCTGCCTTTTTCAGGGTCAAGGAATAGGATTTTCTCTTTCAGAGGTCTCTGGTCCCCTCAGGTTCTCTCTGTCATTCGCCTTTCCCTGCATGGGTTCTCCTTTTAGGTTTCTTTCCTACCCTGGGGTTTTCTGTGGTTAGACTTTGTACCTGGAGGCAAAGGGTACGAATGCCTGGAAGGAGGTAGCTGGTGCAATGGTATCTCTGTGAAGTGGGAGATGTCTCCATTGGGTTCATCCCTCTATGAGAATGTGAACAGGGTCCTGCCCCAGGGAGCGTCCAGCCCAGCTGGGGCTGTGAGAGGGACCTGGTCAGGATGGGCCGTGATCCTCATCTGTCTCTGGCTTTTCTTTCCTTCCAGTTCAGGACAAAAAGGCTGGGCCGGCTGGTGCCATCATGGCAGGTAAGGAGAGGGCGGGCCATGTGGGTAAGACATGCAAGTGAGCATAGCGTGGTTGGACCTCTTCCTGGTCCTCTTATCCCCATTAGTGTTTAGAGGTCAGGTTCTTTCTGTTCTCTCGTCCCCAAGTTTTCCCCGGTCCCGTACTTGGGCCTGTCTATTTGAGATCCTGAATGTGGCACTGTCTAGCCCTCTGTCAGACCTCTGACCCTAGGGACCAGGGATTGAGCATCCTGATGCCCTGGTCCTACTGGCCATTGGACTGATGAGTGGCATGGGTGGCACAGTCCCTGTCCCCTCTGTTACCATTGTTCTCTAATACTCTGAGACCTTTTCCTTCTGGTTTCTGAGTTGTCTGGATTCTGAAGGCTCAGGTACAGAATGCCAGAGCTGGAGGGACTTTTAGGGACTCTCTAGCTCAAACTTCATCCTACTCAGGATGTAGTTTATCTTACTGGATAAATTGAGGTCTGGAGAGGGGTGGTGACTTGCCCAAGGAGAGCAGAATATTGGAGTTGAGGCTGGAACTCTCATTTGCAGAATAACCTTTCCTGCTCCTTCTGCCTGGAACTGGCTCCCTGCTGAGGAGGATGCTGCACCACTGATGGACAGCATTTATTGTTTTTCTTCTGAGAGACAGTGACACTGCTTTAGGGCCTTTGGTTACCTTGGTAACCTCACAGAGGAAGCAGGGATGGTTGGGTAGGGATAGCAAAGTGGCCTGTGGCCATAGGGGCTGATGGGCAGCCTAGGCCAGAGAAAGAATGATGATGCTGGGTTTTTGGGAAAGGGAACAGTCAAGGTGATGCCATGCGATGTGCCTCACCCACAGAGAAAGTGAACAACTTCCCACCACTGCCCAAATTCATCCCGCTGAAGCCATGTTTCTACCAAGACTTTGAGGCAGACATCCCTCCCCAGCATCTCAGCATGACCAAGCGCCTCTACTACCTCTGGATGTGTGAGTGCTGTGGATGAGGGGCTGGGTGGGGATGTAGGGCATTGGGGGGGCGGTGCCTGCAGGCTGGCTGTCCTCCAGCCGCATTTGCAGCCTTTGCATGCGACAGTAAGTCTTTCCCTGCCTGACTCCCTGAAGGCTCCTCTCATGGGCCAACTTCCCAGCTGGGCCTTAGTTTTTCTCAATACTCCCCACCCCCTGCCCTGTGTAGGCCTCTCCTTTCTCCATCCCACATATCCCATTCACAGACCATCTAGATAAGGGTTTCTGTCTCTTGTCCTCCCTTTCCTTTCCCACTGGAGTGGTTTTCCAGGGAACCTCAGGATTCTGGATTCAGAGAGGGATCCTTCCCTCAAAGCCTCATTTTTCCTGTTTTGTCTGGAACACTGCTCAAAGAAAAGAACATTCAGCTGGGAGTTGGGAGAGATGAGGTCAAGCTGGCTGGTTGCTTTATTTCCCAAGTAGCAGGTTCCTTATTTGTAGGAAGAGGGTGATCGCTGTGGTTCCACGTAGAGCTCTGTGTTGTGGTCAGTACTTCTAAGAGTGTATAGAGTTCTAATGTTCTAAGATTTTGAAGTCATGCGTTGAAAGGCCCCCGTTTCTGATGGTCTATGGCAGGTTGGTGGGAAAGGTATCATTAGGGCGATGGGATTTGGTTCTGCCCAGATTGGTCCTAGGTAGGTACCTCTTAGGCATAGGCAGGGAGAGGAGTCTGGCCATCCTGGGCTGAGTACCAGCCCCAGGGAATGCCAGACACCCGCAGAATAACATTAACCATGGTCTGCCATGTGTAATGTTGCCTTGAGTAGGTCTGCTCTTAGCAGTGTACCTGGGGAGATGATTAATTATGCCAGGAGGGTGGTGAAGAATGCTACCTTTGCAGCAGGTCCTTCATGGAATGGAAGAAAGAGTATGGGGACAGAAAAATTCAGTTTCAAGTCCTGGCTTGGCTTTTGGCTGGCCATGAAGCCATTTCCCCCCATGTAACAGGAGAGAAGGAAGGGATGGGGCAGGTGTGGCTAGGTCTGTAGATGATGGGAAGAGAATGAGTAGGTTTTCTCTGATGGCTTCCATTTTTTCCCCCCATCAAAATGGGATGTAGAAATGGGGATGGGAGCTTTGAGGAGACCGGAATTAGAATGAGAGCTTGTTTGTGGTCAGAGAGTAGGGACACTATCCAAAGAAATGTGACCTCTAAGATTTCTGGGCCATGCACAGGGTCTCTCTGAGAGGTCCTACCAGGCCTCTGGGATTGGGGACACTGCTTTTCCCCTAGTAACATTCAGCTCAGGTACAGATGGGTGTTGTTTTCATCCAGGGTGAGTGTGATCAGAAGACAGGGCAGAATATAAGCTAGATAAAAAGAGAGAAGTGGAGATAGAAAAAAATTGATGGCTAGAGAGAGAGTGGCCAAGTCAATGGATGTCAATTCCAAAGAAGCAGTAGAATAATTGCAGTGGAGGTAACTAAGTCAACTGAGCTGGAGAGAGGTGGGACTGTGAAAAGAGGTGTAAACCAAATAAAAACAGGTTAATGTCTGGTTTATGGAAAAAGCAAATAAAATCAGCAAGAACACCAAAGTTTCAGGAAATTTGGGGACAGTAAACAGGAATGGAGGAAATGCAGATGAAGTGCACAGGAAGAAATGCTCATTCTCATTATGAGGGGCCTGAGATGAGTGTACCTGCACAGGTAACAGTGTAGTCAGGGCAGACTTTGGGAGCATTCCACCTGACCCTGGGCTCTGGGGACTCTGCCCCTGAGAAGATCTCATTCAGGAGCTGGATTTAAGGGCCCACCTTCCTTTGTTTATTCAGCAGGTTTTTGTGGAGCCTTAAAGGAACTCAGCCTAATGTTTGAGGAAGGGAGCACCTTGTGTCAGAAGACCTGGGTGTGTGTTAGTGCCAGCACCAGATGAAGAAGGAGTCTCTGAGGTCCCCGATGCTGGAATTCCGAGGTTCATTTGTGGGCACAGAGGAGGAGCCTGGGTCTTGCTCTTGGGGAGCTTCTAGTCTCGTTGATGGGCTGGGATTCATACTTGAGGAACAAGAGCAGCCCAGGTCTGCAGAAGGTCAGAAGGATGGGAGATGAATAAGGCTGTGGTAGTGAAGGAAGGCCCCTTGGAAGAGATGGCATGACAGTTGTCTAAGAAATGGATTAGATTAAGACTGAGATCCCAGCCACCACTGCCTGCCCCATTTAAGTGCAGGGCCGATGGTACAGTGGCTTGAAAAGATGTTTCCACAAGGCCCTTTACTTTCCCTTTTTTGTGCCCCTACCTTGCGAGAGAAGATGTGAGGCGGGTTTCCTGTGCCTTGGCATCGGTGATTGCTTGGCTCTGGCAGGGTCAGGGGCTGAGGCCATTCTTATAAGGAGAAGAACATGCCTATGAGGCTTTGGAGCCCTTCAACAGGGCTTGCTGCTCTGAGGCTCTGGACTTCTTCTCTGGAGGCTCTTTGTTCTCTGGGTTTCTTAGATCCCCAGAAGCAGGTGTGGGGAGGGGACTGGTCTGAGCTCTCAGCTTTCTTTCTTACAGTCTGTACTCCGTGTGTGTTTGTGTGTGTGTGTGCGCCCGCGCGTGCATGTGTCTGCACGCATGTACTCACTGATATGTATTATGGGTGTGAATGTGTATAAATGTGGTTTGCATGTGTGGTGTTTGTGTGCATCTACATCTCCCTGCTTGCACATGTTTGATTGTTATGTGTTGAGTTATGGGTATGTGTGTGTCCGTGTCTGGGTGCTCATGTATCTCTGCATGGGCCTGGTGTTTGTGTTCATGTCTGGTGTCTGTCTCTGTGTGTGCGTGTGCTCCTGGGTTGCAGTGAACAGCGTCACGCTGGCCGTGAACCTGGTGGGCTGTCTCGCGTGGCTGATCGGAGGCGGGGGAGCCACCAACTTTGGCCTCGCCTTTCTCTGGCTCATCCTCTTCACACCCTGCTCCTACGTCTGCTGGTTTCGGCCCATTTACAAGGCCTTCAAGTAAGTGGTTGGTCTGACCCTGGCTCCTAACCCTGCCTCTTTGCTCATCTCCCCCATCTCTTCTCTACATACTTTCTCACCTTTTTAATTTTTATTATTATTCTTTGCTGTCTCCCAAACTTACTTTCCCTAATTCACCCTCAGCTCAGACTTCCAGGTAGGATTTGGGTTTCCTGGGACCTCTAGGGAGGGCTGGGAGTCAGAGCCTTCCTTTTAGTTCCTTTCTTCCTCACCCTACCTATTGGTGTAGGCAACATAGAGTAGAGACCAGGCCTATTTTAGTTTTTCCTTCCCCAGGCAGCTGCATGTTAAATATTGCCAATGGTACCACTTGTCTTGGTGGAGATTCCCATCCTATATCCATGCGGCTAGCTGATTTCATGCCAAGTGGACCATTTATCCTGTACCAATGGACCTAGCCATCCATATACCACTGACACTATTTGTGTGCTAATGAGGTCATCCAGCTCTGTGTCAAAGGGACCACCCATCCATGTATCAGTGGGGCTGGCTGTCGTGGTGCCAACGGGTGTCTACTTTGTGTCAAATGGGATTTTCAATCTTTGTGTCAATTGGACTCTTCATTCATATACCAATAAGGCTATCTGGTGCCACTGGAGTATCCATGGTGCCTCAAATGTCTTTGTCCATCAGACCATACATCTATGTACCAATTAAGTTACTTTTTTGGTGCCAGTAGGGTGTCCATTCTAGTGCCAATGGGACTTTCTGTCTCTTAAGCTTATGGGATGATCATCCAGATACTAGTGGAGCTAGCTGTCTTGGTGCCAATGGAATTGTCCATCCCCTTGACAATGGGGTTGTTTATTTCTGCCACAATGAACCCATCTATTTTTGTGCTAATGGGGCCAGCCATCCATGTACCAGTGGGTGGTCCATTCATGAAGAGATGTCTCCCTATGTAATGTTGCACAGACCTAACATATGGAACCCTGCAAAGATCCATGGGTAAACACTATCCCATTTTGGCTTCTGTCCTTTGTGTACTCACTTAAACTTGGAAGGGTCTGGGGGCCTTGAAGAGAGGGAATCCCTGGCTCTCTGCCCAGGTGATGGGAGCCATATCCTCTGTTGCAGGACTGACAGCTCCTTCAGCTTCATGGCATTCTTCTTCACCTTCATGGCCCAGTTGGTCATCAGCATCATCCAGGCTGTGGGCATCCCTGGCTGGGGCGTCTGGTAAGAGACTGAGGTATCTGGGACTGACCTAGCGCTGGCCTGGGTGGCACCTTCGGTATATTTTTTGTTTACCCCCATGTGCTAAGCTGCCTAGCTTGTGGGGAAGTGTGAAAGGATTCAGGCTAGTAGACACAACCATAGCATCAGAGGAGAAGGAGAACCTTGCAGTGATTTCTGGGGACTGAAGAATGTCAAGCTTCATGGGAGAACCTGAGGAAAGTAAGACTTCTGTCTGAGGAGCTTGTCTTCTGAGCCATGGGGAGAGTTCTTCCTGTACCACTGACACAGACCCTTTGGGTATCAGTGAGATGGTCCCTTTGTACCCAATGATATGGTCCCTCCATGTGACAATGAGATGGTCTCTTACCCATGTCTAGTGGGGTTACTCCTGGGTACCCCTCACCATTCTGGGTAGCCCCACAACTGGCCTCTTCCTGCAGCGGCTGGATCGCCACCATCTCCTTCTTTGGAACAAACGTTGGCTCAGCGGTGGTGATGCTCATTCCCACTGTCATGTTCACAGTTGTGGCTGTCTTTTCCTTCATCGCCCTCAGCATGGTATGTGGTTACCTCATGGGTGAGAGGGTGGCTTTGGAAAGGGGCTGTGATCCATAACAAGCTCTCTTCCAAATGGTAGGAGGACCCAGAGGTCTTCCGGGGACTCATCGTGTAATGGCTTGGTGGACTGTGCTCCTGATGCACAGAGCAATGGGTGGGAGGGAGCAACTCACTGGCTTTTACAGTGAGTTGTCTCTGGCTCCCATGTCTTTCCCGGATGTCCTGCCTTTGATTAACCCTTCCTTGTGCTCCTTCTACAGGTTCATAAATTCTACCGGGGCAGTGGAGGGAGTTTCAGCAAAGCTCAGGAGGAGTGGACCACGGGGGCATGGAAGAACCCGCACGTGCAGCAAGCAGCCCAGAATGCAGCTGTGGGGGCTGCCCAGGGTGCCATGAATCAGCCGCAGACTCAATATTCTGCCACCCCCAACTACACATACTCCAATGAGATGTGAGCCAGCCAAGCCTACTGAAAGGCAGCGCTGAGAGCTGGTGGGATGGGGGCTCAAGCCACATCATCTGTTGTGGTGACCAAGCAGGGTTCTCCCTTCCTTTTTCTCCTCCCTCTTGTTTTTTCTCCTTTCTTCTTTGAACAATGAATCAGATACATGCGCGCGCACACACCCCCCTACACATCCACCCACCCACCCACCTACTCTCTGCCCCTTTGGATTTTGCTCTGAGCATTCTGAGAGCTATGGGCTGCACATGGGTCCCATGTGTGATAGCTGTTTCCGTGTCCCCTGTGAAGTAGCGTGCCATGGAGGTCCTTGTTGTCCTGGTGCTAGATGTGTGTTTAGAACTAAACTAGCCTCCACCCTCCTCCAGGCCACTCTCTCTGACCTTGGCGCAAGGACCTGTCATGGGGCCGAGGTACAGCAGAGAGAGCCTGGCTCCCTCCCCAGGGTATGAGCTGAAACTGTTTCCATTTTTGGTCTGATTGGGAAGCAACACTATTTAGCACCCGTGGTGGTGGTGGTGGCGGTGGTGGTGGTGGCGGTGGCGGTGGTGGCGGCGGTGGCAGCGGTGGTGGTGGTGGTGGTGGTGGGTGGGAGGGTGGGGACAGGAAGGGGATCTTCACTTGCTCCTTCTGATCTGGATCTCCTCCTCCACTCCTCTTTCTACTGTCACATTCCCTGTGGTCTCTTCTCTTGCCCTGAGTTTCTCTCTTCCCATGTAGCTTTTCTTTGTCTTTCCCAAGGCTAAATGTCCTAGCTGTATCTGTTCTTAAGACTGAGCCCATTCCCAGATCAAGAAAGCAGATAGGGGAGCTGAGCCTTAGCCCTGATGAGGGAGGGCACACAGGTGCAGAACCCTTCGGTGCACCTGACTCCCAGGAAATGGCAGTGCAGGGTCATCTCCCTGACTCTCAGAGCTTGGCTTGTAGAGGCAGGCTCCTATTTTCCCTGCCCTGCTTGCTTACTCTCCTTCTCTTCCCAGAGCCCCCTCAAGCCCTCTGCTTATGTCTCTCCCCAAATCCCCAGCTGCTGTGACCTGATGTTCCCACCCTACCCTGCCTTCCCTGAAGAATTGGGAGGTATCCAGTAAAAAGGTGCAGCTGGAGCAGAGGATATGTATATAATTATTGGCTCCTGGGCGAGGTCTGGCTGGCTCAAGCCTGCTGGGAGGTACTGGATGTCTCTGGGCTACTGACCATAGGATTCTTGGTAGCAGTAGCTATTCTGTGTGGGTATGGTACAAGGGAGAGGCTCAAAGGGCTGGGCCTGGAAGGAAGGTGAGAGGAGAGGGCAGAGAGAGGTACATGACTTCCCCATGCCACCTTGCCTTTGTTCATAGGACAGTTCTGGGCACTTGAAGTGAGGACCCAGGAAGAAGCATGGACCCAATCTTATCTGCAGGTGCAATGGTTGGAATGGGATTTCAGATTAGTAAAGGTGGGAAGGGAGGCTTTCTGGCTACACCCCTACCCCCTCACCCCCCACCCCTGTCCAGCAATATAACTTGCTCCTTTCTGCCTACTGGCCTTGGTTCTTGGTCCTTCCTCACCCTGCCAGAGCCCCTTTCCCTTCCACAACAATGATTTCAGGCCTGTAAGGCTATTCTGTTTCAAGCATTAGAAGAATGTTGCTGGTAGAGACCCTGACTCTCTGAGGCCTGGAGGGGAGTGGATTCTCACTCATAGAAAAGCTGCTTGTTTTGCACTCTCCCTTCTCCTACCTGGGCACTTGTCCTGAAAAATCAAACCTCGTTTGATAAACCCACTGTGGGCTGGCTTCAGTGTAGAACCTGGCACTCGGGCTTCCAGGTACAATCCAGAGCTTTGAGCTCCAAGTACTTCATTTTCCTCTAAGGGGAACCAGGACTTCTGGAAAGTTCTCTTCCTAATGGTCCCTTAGGTTTGGGTGAGATTGTGATTGGCTGTCTCCTCCACCACTTTCTCTCTGGAAAGCATTTGTCACAGCCCCTAGTACACTAGGTTTAGATTCTTCCTCCCCTATCCTCTCCCCCAGCCCAGACTTCTGGATCCCTTTCTTCCAGTCTGTCTTAGCCCCAGGAGGCCTGTGTTCCAGCTGCCAGCCCAGAATCTATGATCTGGTTACCACCTCCAGTTGATTTCCTTCCCTACCTTCCTTTCCTTTGTCCTGGCCCAGACCTGGCTGTACTCTGAGTGCCTCAGGGAAGGTCTGCTACTTGTGTGTGGTTGAGTGTGTCCAGGTTGCATCTCCAGGCAACTATGTATTTTCCTGGTGAAGGAACCAATATAAGAAGTGGGGGCTAGGACCAGATTCATCTCTGTTGGATGGCCTTGGGGGTGGGACGGAGGAAAGCCCAGGTCAGTTCTGGGAATCCTCAGGTCTGCAGCCAGCCAGTGACCTTTTGTATTCTGCTGGTGCCCACTGCTGCTCCTTATTTCTGGGAGACACAGACCATTCTCCATCTGGCAGTTGATCTGCCTGAGCCAATGTGTCTGTGGTAACTGAGTGAACCATAATAAAGGGGAACATTTGGCCCTATGTATCCTACTGTGTCATGTGTCTTCATGTGGGCCTGTTGTGTGGAGGTAGAGTGGTTCTGTAGCCTGTCATTCCCAGAGTCCTGAAGTTACCTCTGTGTGGTTCTTTTTCTGAGGCAGCCATCAGTAGGCCTCGAAATAGCCACAGAGGCCTCCTTCCTGTTAGGAAGAGAAATTCTGGGTTCCTCAGGAGGAAGTAAAAGGCTGGATTAGTGGGTGAGGGGTGGTTTGGTCCTGCCCTGCGAGGGCAGGGGAAGAGCACAGGTGGCTTCACTCAGCTCTCATGATGGACTGGCAACTGGTTGAGCAGCCTTAACAAGCACAAGGGGTTCCAGAGTGCAGTGCTGAAGAATAAGGAAATGCTGTGAAGATACCTTCCTGTTGCCAATGCCACGCCCTCCATCTGGACTGCTGGAGGGCTTTTGTTCTGTTTTTTATTTATTTCGCTTTTAATTAATTTATTTGAGAGAGAGGAAGGGAGGGAGAAAGGGAAAGAAACATAGATGCGAGAAACAACCATTGGTTGCCTCTCTTTTGTACTGACTGGGAGGAACCCAAAACCTATAGGCATGAGCCCTGACAGGGCGTTGAACTGGCAACTTGCAGGAAGATGCCCAACCAAGTGAGCCACCCAGTCAGGGCCAGACTGCTCTTTTGGCCTTCTAAGCTCCTGTTCATCATTCGCCATTCGGGCTAAGTGACTCCTCTGAGAGGGATTCCCTACCTCTGGGTGTTTATGCCCCTCTGCTTTCTCACGGAGGACCTTATTATGTAATTTTCGGTGTCCTTGCTGGTCTATAGAGCAAGGATGCATCTGACTCATCTTTGTAACCCATGCATTAACATATAGAAGAGGCTCGCCAAGTATCCAGCATTAAATACCCCAGGGATGAGCAGTGTTTAGGTGTGGGATGGGGGTGTGGGGTGAGGAGGCCGGACAATCCGGCGACGAAGCCCGGGTGAGAGCACCAGAAAAACAAGAACAGGGGCCAGGGTCCAAGGCGGAATTCCCGTGAGTTGACTACAACTATCACAAGCAGAGGAATGGACTACAACTCCCAGAAGGCTGCGCGATCACGTAGGCTGCTAGATGGTCTCGTGAGATTGCGTGCCAATCAGAATCAGCGCGAAAGCCTTCAGAGAGATTTTATTTGGGGGCTACCCCGAGACGTCTCTGGCGAGGGTGAGGAGTCGAAGGGAACTCGGATCTTGGCGGGCTGGAGGGTGGGTCCTCGCGGCAGAGCGGGAGGGAGACCGGAAGAGCTTCCCCTGTGACTGAGTCTGCGATTGTACGTGTGTGAGTGAGAGAGGGACCTCGCTTTCCTCTCTATGAAGCTCTGCTCTCCCTGGGGTTGGCGGCTCTGTATATGTAGGCGCTATGGAGCATGTGGGGACCTCACTTTTCTGTGTCCAAGGGGAGGGAGCATTAGGGAACTCTTCCCACCCGGCCAGAACCTAGCGTGGGGAGTTTGCAATATCTTGCGCTCCTAGATCTGCTTTGTGCTATTCGGAGATTGTCCAGTGCTGTTTAATCTAGTTTAAAAGGTGGCCCTGTCAGTTCCCCTACGCTTACCTATTGCCTTAAAAAACAAACAAACAGACAAACAAACAAACGTGATCCGGTTTCCAAAAAAGGAATACAGACTGCCCCAAGTAAAAACTACTATCTTTTAAACGTTGGCGAAATAGAAAAAGAGCCTTGGGATGTTGCAGTTATCCTATAGATCGCCTAAAAGTAGTGAATGGCATTTAAAAATTAGAATGAGGGCCCTGGCTGGTGTGGCTCAGTGGACCGAACGCCGGACTGCGAACCAAAGGGTCCCTGGTTTGATTCCCAGTAAAGGCACATGCCTGGGTGTGGGCCAGGTCCCCAGCTGGGGGTGCTGGAGAGGCAACCACACACTGATGTTTCTCTCCCTCCCTTCTCCTCTCTCTAAAAAAATAAATAAAATTAAAAAAATTAGAATAAAGCCAAATTTTGTCAGAGAAAAATTTTGTGCTATTTTTTGAAGTTATAGAGGTCCTTCCCAGATATTGGGCAGGAGAGATTCCCATGGTGGGGAAGTGGTGATGTCTTGGAAGCAAGGGTTTTCCACATTTTCCCCGTGGGTGAGAGGTGACATTATTCAGACCCTTGCTGGAAGACCACATGTGTGAATATAATTTATCCCTTTCTCATTTTCCCTGTCTCTCCCCTTCCCTCCCCCAACTTGTGACCTTGAGGAGGGTTGCCTAACAGGCTTACAAGTACTGCAGAATCTAGTATACAGGCCTCTAGTTTGAGAGAAGAGCAGTCTTAGAATGCCAAGGTCTTGAGTGCTTCCTGAAGAGTTCCTTGCCTTTCCTTAGGGGAAGGGTTTACAATACCCCTGTGGCAATGGGACTCCTTTTAATGACTTGGGGTTTGGGGACCGTTTGACACTTTGGGGAGTGACAAGTGGTTCATTACTACTGGAGCAGAGTAGAGTGCGTTGATTGGTGGGAGGTGAGGCCAGAGCAGAAGCCTGGGGCCGGTAGTGAGGGGCTTGTACATTAGGCTAAAGGATTCAAACTCTTAATGTATCCTGATCTCTGCTTACCCACCCACCCCCATCCCTGAGTTTCGTTCTCCTTTTGCCTTAAGCCCCAGCCCTTCATCATTCCCGTGTTGGGTTGGGCTCATACCCTGTCTGGCCCTTTTTTAGCCCTGATTCTGCTCTAGCTCCACACCTGCCCTTTTTGTGACTGGTAGGTAGCCCTGACACCTTACTTAACTCTGCCATAACTGAAGTCATCAGAGGGGATTTACACACCATGAGCCTGCCACAAACTGAGGCTCTTTACCCTGTCTCTGGCTTTCTAGAGGACAGAGAAGCTGCTATTCTTCTGACTGGCTTACCTGCATCTCTTGTGCCAGGGAGCTTGAGGCTCAGTAATCATAGCCTTCAGCCCTATAACCTCTGCCTGCCAACTCTTTGTACAGCTCAAAAGTTCCCAATGAGTAATAGCAGAGCCCTGGGAGATGTCTACAGCTACCTTGGCTGTGCAAAGTAGGTGGTTCTAACAGGAACTGGATAGAGTACAGGCTTACTAGTTTGGGATTTGATCCTTTGTGAGCATAAACAAAGAACTGCCAGCTGTCACCCTCCTCCTCAGATTGAATTGACTGGACCTTGCTTTCAGATGTTGGTTAAATCACCCACTTTCTATTTCTCGAATACAAATAACCCTCCCCCTCAACTTTTCTAGAAAGGTGGGTAGTTTTGGGTCCTTAGCAAAGATTGCTCAGACTAAGATTGGGGCAGGGTAAGCACTAAATCTTAAACTGTCCCACCTGTTGTGGGTCATCGTTGAAGTCATCAACATGGATTCCTGCCCCAGGTTTAACTGATTGCTTTCAGTAACCTGTTCCTTAGGAATGATATCAGCTTGATATGGAGGTTCAGGGGCTGCAGAGATGAAATTCACCTTCTGGCTTTACTGGAATCTCTCTGGCTGGCATGAGACAGGGTCAAGGTTTGAGATCTGGCAGGTAATTTTCCCTGGAGAGTCAGGAATGTGCCTCTATCACCTACTATGGGGGCTAATCAGCTTGCTGATTAATTCTGGGAAGAAGCTGGGTGACAGGCTCTTTAGACCTCGCCACTTGCTAACAGGGCTCCTCAGGCCCTGGAGTAGATGCAGTTTTGCTCTGGGCAAGCAGGGCCCCGAGTGAGCACTGGTGAGCAGAGATTGAAATTATTGGCAAATGGTACTGTGGGGGAGTCTTGCTGAAGGGCAGTGGCCTGTGTTTAGCCCGTGCTCAGAAGAGTCTCGGCCTGTGGGAGATCCTTTCAGGTAGGAGTGGGATAATGGACCTAAGCATGATCCTCAGCTCATGAGGGTATGTACTTGAGTCTTCAAAGTAAATACTGGGTGAAAAGTAAGTACTAGGGAGCCAAGGGGGCTGTAAGTGAAGAGGAGGCCCCTATGGCTGCACAGGTTCAGAGGTAGCCATTGGGCAACTCACAGGCACTTCCTTCTCAGGGTGTACCTTGGTGTCCTCTTCCCTGCTGATTCTGCCCATTTTGAGTGCATCTTCTGAGAACCTCTGGTAGAGAAAGCCATTATTGCTGTCTTTCTTGCATTGACTCTGAAGGTTTCTTCTGGAAGAAGCTTCAGAGTTCACCTAGTCCTACCTCTGCATTTTCAGATGAAGCGACAGATCCAGGGAGGGGAGTACCCTGGGTCAAGTTTACACATCAGGTCAGATGCACAATCATGGGCAGGGCCCAGGGCTCCTGATTCATAGGCCAGATGTCTGTCCTCTACCCCACCCTGCTTCAGAGGGTACCCACCAGGTGCGCGGTGGTTGGCAATTAGACCTGGCCACACATTCAGGGAGCTTCCTGGAGGTGGTGAGGGGGAGCGGAGAGGGAGAAGCAAGGACACTGATGAACAAATCGAATCAGCGATTACCAAAAACGTGCATCCCAGAGAAGGAACCATCTTAAATTCCAGATTTGGCTCCTGTCTTCTCAACTTATCTACAGATTCCCTGAAGGCAGTGCCTGTTTCCCACAGTTCCTTTGCCCAGTGCTAGATGTAATTGGTCCTTAGTGATCGTTGCTGATGGAATATGCCTTGCTGGCCCAGCCTGGAGAGTGTAGGTTTTGGTGTGCCCATCTGTCACGGTATCACGGGCACTCACTTTCAGCACGCCTGAGGGCCAGAGGAATAAACCGAGCAACTGGCCTGACTGAGTGGCTTACGTCCCTTTATGCTGGTTCCTTTCTGGGCTTGGATTTGTAGAGTGGTGCCCAGTCTGATCCGTAGGGACAGGGACAGAGAGGCAAATCTCTTAGCTCCCTAAAGCACCTACATCCCTACCCTCTTGTTGCCAAGGGTTCCACCACACAGGCATCCTGCCTTTCCCTTCAGGTCAGTTAGCCTGGCCCGTTGCCATAGCTCCTTACCCTGCTCCTCCAGTCTCACCACCACCAGGGCCCCCCTCACACTGTCACCAGTGCCAGCACCATCTTTCTAAAATAGAAAGTCACCCTTGCCCTTACCTCCCTTGACATTAACCCTGACCTGACTGCAGCCTTACCGTCCCGCGCCCCCATCGCACCTTAGCCTCACTACTAACCTACTCCCTATTCACCAAACCTGCCACTCTCCTGTAGGCCTCTTCACCTTGTAAGATTGCTCCTTCTTGCAAAGTTACTTCCTTCTTTCTCTGGAAAACTTACTTGTCCTTTAGGACTCAACCTGAATGTCAATTTTTGGGTGCCTGACTTCCTCCGACATTTACTCCTGGGTGGCCACAGCCCCTGGTATAGACCTTCCTCACAGTGCTGGCCACATTACATTGTGACTGACCTATGCATGTTGAGGGTGTCTGGCCTGCCTATCAAACTGTGCTCCCAGAAGCTGGGACTGCTGATCCCTCAGGATCCCCAGCAGCTGTTCCAGGGTCTGACAGGGTGCTCAATACATTTTGGCTGAATATATGAATGAAGTGGGCACCGCTTGTTTTGCTTTTTAGATCCTAAATCCTGACAGAGCATTATGGAGCCCAGTTCTGTCAGGCTTCCAGGACTTGAAGCCACCAGACCCCCCGTGGAACCAAGGGCTGCACCCTTGGTAGAGAGACGATTCCATGTTCTTGTGGGTGTCACTGGGAGTGTTGCAGCCCTGAAGTTGCCTCTTCTGGTGTCGAGGCTTTTGGACATTCCTGGCGTGAGTATATTCACTAGACAAGCATAGCAGCTTCTGACGTTAGAGCATTGCTGTTCCTATGGCCAGCCCATTTTTGTATAGGGCACAGGATTTTCTTTTTCTTAATTGTGGAAGTCTTCTGTGCGCAATGGTATGATGGGAACACAGGAAACAGACCAGTGTGTCAGTATAACCAAGATCTGGTTTAGATAATGTGGGCAGAGCTTAATGGAAGACTGGGAAAGGAATGCTCTGGTAAATGGAGGGGTTGAGTTTCCATATGTTGACCCTGAGATTCCTTGAGGTCCTGCCATGGGAGGAGGGCTAGGCGGAGAAATGCAGCAAGTTCTCAGTGCCCCCTTGCTAGCTTGGGCTCACTGTCCCCCTTTCACTCCATCTTGTACACTGTGGCTCTATTCTTCTTCCTTAGACACCATGGCTGTCCTATCAGCCCAAATATATCACTAGCAACTCTCATTTTAACTTTACTCTTTCAACTGTTCAGAGATGCCCAGGGGCCACTGGGAGGGGGGTTTAGCCCCCTGCTCTTGGCCACACCATCTCAATTTTGGTCAGTTTTATATACTGGGGTCCTGGAGCAGATTCTTCTGTTCCAGAAGGAGTTCAAGGCTTTAAACAATGTGAAAGTCAGCAGACAATAACCCACTTCCTCATCAACTGCCTGTTGGTCTCCCTCTGTCCCCTACTCCATCCTGATGGCCTTTGCTTTGGCCAGCACTTGCCAGGCTGCACTACCCTCTGCGCCTCTACAAATTCTGTACCCAAAATTTATGTAGAAGGCTTCCTGGCTACCTCAGCCCATACAGTTATACTCCTTTCTTTTTTATTTTTTTCCCCTAAGAGAGTATACATTTGTTATATTATTATTATCGGTTTATAAAATTTATTAAAATTTAAAGTTATTTTATCTTCTATCCTATGAGCATCCATTCAGCTGCCTTTCAACTAGGTGCGCCAGCTGCATGAATACTGTCATAAATGCCTGGGAATCTTCAGGGTAACAGGTATGCCTTTGCTGAAACCTCTTTGCTCCAGGCCTTGTAGCCAACCCAACTGTTCACACCTTTATTTTAAATGTCTCCAAAATCTGCACCCCAAGCATGCCAACCATAGAGGAAAATGTATGTCCCATAGCAAAAAAAAAAAAAAAATAATAATAATAATAAAAAAAAAATTAAAGCCAGTCCAGACATGTCAAAGACTCAAGTCCACCATTCCAACTTCCAGCTGGTTCTTTTTAGTGCCTGTCTGCCCATGGCAAGAGTGTGATTCTTGTGTTTTAGAACCCTGGCAGCTGTTCTCATTCCTTTGGCACAGAACTAGAAAATGGACACAAAGAATACCAATGATACATACTGTGCAGCCACAGTAAACATTAATGTCATAAATATTTCAGCTGTAGAATAGAATTTTTTCAGAAATCCTCCTCTCCACTACTCTTAAACCATTGCAGGCTTCGAAGACAGTATGCATTTCACTACGATCAACAAAGGCTGTTGAATCATTGAATGAGAATATACACAGAAGTGTACTACTCAAGAAGCTTGGTAGTAGTTATGGAGTGTCTAGATTGTGAGGCTGGGGAACCGGGAATCTCACAGCCCTGAACCTCCAACCTGAGGGAAGCCGCCCAGCTACACTGGTTGTGAATCAACTGGGTAGTTGTTTAGATAGAATTGTGTTTAAATCCTTGCTGTGTCCTTTGGTAGCTATGTGACCTTGGGCAAAGTTCCTCATCTGTGAAATAGAGATTTTAATACCTACCATGCTGCCATGTTTTGGGATTCCTTATAGATAAATAAGGAAAGCCCTGACTAGGGTTGGGCGTTGTCCCACAAACTGAAAGGTTGCTAGTTCGATTCCTGGTGAAGGCCCATGCCTGGGCTGCGTGCCAGGTTCCTTTCCTTTTAAAACTCACTTGATGGCCCCGGCTGGTGTGGCTCAGTGGATGGAGTGCCTGCCTGTGAACCAAAGGGTCGCTGGTTTGATTCCCAGGAAGGGCACATGCCTGGGTGTGGGCCAAGTCCCTAGTTGGGGGCATGCTAAAGGCAACCACACATCAATGTTTCTCTCCCTCCCCTCTCTCCCTTCCCCTCTCTCTAAAAATAAATAAATAAATAAATAAATAAATCTTACCCCCCCCCCCAACTCATTTGATGTATTAAAGTGGTAAAGACAATTTATTCAGAAAAGCTGTTTCAATCAGGGAAGAGATTTCAGTATAGAACAGGGCTTAATTTGATCACAACAAGGAAAAGTGGGAATTTATAGCCAAAGAGCAGTGTGGGGGTCAGTGGATGGAAATTGCTAGGCAGAAACATCAGCAGTAAAGGGGGATTCTACCCCAACAGGATTCTTGCTGAAGGCAGGCGGGGTGATCAGACATCATCTGGGGGATACTGGAGAATGAGAAGCCTGAGGAGATATCCAAGCAGGTCAAATATCAGGGTGGGGGCTTCTGGATAAACCAATTTAACAGGATTCTTGCTTTTGAGGACAGGGCTCAAAGATGAGCCTAGTCAAAAATGTAGCTCACAGGAGCCTGACTAGAGTTTGGTCAAGGAGAGAATCTTGATCAAAATGTAGACCATCATTTGCCTTTTGACATTGCTCATTTTGTTAGACACTAGTTTTGTGGGGTAGTGTTAAGCCGCTGGGGCTCAGGTGGTACTTATTTATTCCTTGCTTGTTATCTGCACAGCACCCCTACGGCAGGGTAGCACAGGTGGGTGTACCCTGTGTGTCCAGCAGGGGGCAGTGTTCAACTGCATATAACCATGTTGGTATTCCAGGTAGGGGCTGGGAAATCTTCCGCTATTTTTACTTTCCAAAACTTCTACCCTGAAACGCAGCCCCTCACCTCTCTGCTGCTGCCCACCCCCGCCCCCACCACCCCCGGCGCCAGGCTGGAACAAACAGTAAAGCAAGCAGCACGGATGCCAGCTAGGCCAGAGGACAGAGAGGAGTGTCTCATGGCTGCTCCGAGGCTGGGCACTGGTGCTGCGGGGGCACTGGTGCTGCGGGGGCAGGGCCACCTGGGGCCTACCGCCCCTCATGTGTCCAAAAGTGTTGGTAGGAGCTGGCCAGCTAGAGCCGTGAGGGTAGGAGGACTGGAAAGGGTTGCAGCAGTGACAGCCTCTGCCACTGCCCCCTGGGGAGGGAGGGAGTCATGCAGTTCCCTTTTCCCATGGCCCCAGAGCAAGTGAATTTCCGGACTGGGGGCGGGTGGGGGTGGGGAGTCCTATCCCAGGAAACAGATGGGCAGCTTCAGAGCTGAGGGAAATGGCAGCTCCTGGCTTCCTGTCATCCAACACAGCCACAGTTTTAGGGGTCTGAGGATGGGGTGGCCTGGACGAGGGAGGCTCTCCATCCACTCCAGGATTTTTAGCCTGGTCTACTGATGGACAGACTAAAAAGCCTGGAACAGGACTCTCTTCTCCTTCTCTGGCTGGAGTTGATGCAAAAAGTCAAGTAGCCAGAAGGGCACTGGCTGGGAGGAGGAGTGTCCTGACTTAGCCTCTTGGAGCGGCTTTTTTTGGTTTAAAATTAGGATGACTGCTCCCACCTATCCCCTTGGGCTCTTGTCAAGGGTGAGGGAGGGGACACAGATGAAACAGGTTGCCATCTTGTGTCAAAAACTAGGCACAGCTTCTGGCACATGGAAGCACTTAACAGTGTTTGTTTTCTGTCCTTCATCCTCTTTCCCCTTGTCATGTCCTTTGGGCCAGCCATGTGGTGTGGGTGTTAGGGTTGGTGGGACAGCTCATGTGGGAGGAGTCATGGGAGCCACAGCCCAACTGCTCAAGTGGAGGACCCACATTCATGTCACCTTTGGCCCTCTCATCCTGCAGGTAGACAGCTTCTCAAAGGGCCTGGGTTTGCTTTCTGGGGCCCTTGTCAGGTCTTGATAAACAAGGGGGATCCCTGGCCTGCCTTGTATTGGCCCAGAGGTAGTGACCTTTTCCCTAGCACTTCCGTACACTCCCTTTCTGCATCACCACCACCAGCGACCCCCCTCTGCCAGGTCCCTTGAAGCAGTCCTTCTCAGCTCTTTGCCTAAGTCATGGGTTTACATGCCAAGACTCCCTTAGGTATGCCTAGATTTTGACTAGCAAACAGGAGGCTGGGGTGTGGGCTACACAGAGTTGGGTAATTTTGCAGACCTGACTCATAATTACTCCTGATTCACCTGCATTCAGGCATCCTAGTGGAGCTACTGAGCTAGAGCCAGACCAGGGAGATTGTGAGGGGGTGATGGAGAAGGGTACATTTGGCTTCAAGACTCACACACCAGCAGTTGGGAGGAATGCCACTAGTGAAGAAGCCTTGGAGGCGCTATGTGAAGTGGGGGAAGTTGGGCAGCAGGGGCCAGCCCTGCCTCGAGAGAGGCAGCTGAGTGTGGAGGATTTCTCTCTCTGGGACCTTGGGCAAGTCAATTCTTCTTTATAGTCTCAGTTTTCTTATTCATGCAATGAAAAGAAGGTACTCAAATGATCTATCTCCAAGGCCTCTCTGGCACTAGTGGTAGAAGATTCTAGATGTGGGGGCACAAAGGACTAGGACCCAAATGCAGCCTGAGAGAAGGTCCTGGAGGAAAGGAGCTTCAGGGAGTTTTGCAGTTCCATAATTGTCATGTAACTGGGCGGCAGTTAGTCTGAGCTGTCAGCTCAGTCATTTCTGCCCCTTGCTTGGCACTCTTCTCACTTGGAGGGAGAAGACAGATGCCTCTAGCTTTGCCAGGGCAGGCATCAGCAGGGCTGAGAGCCAGAAGGGGATTTCCAAAGGTAGAGAAAATCTCCCACTTAGGGAGCTGGCAGGCTCTGGTTTTAGAGAAGGATACATTTCTAGAATGCCCATCAGGACATTTCAGAGCCAGCAGGGTGAGTGAAAGAGTGCTTCACTCTTATGTAGTATGAAGTAAATTCTGCTTTTCTGGGGGACTATTTGGCAATATCTAAAGAAATCACAAATGTTGACAGCCCTTGATTCACCTATAGTAT